CATACTGCAGGGGCAAGTGCTGTTAGCTAGCACCTCACACACAGACACAGACAACGATCCCCCGTGTAGCCTCTAACAGGCTGCAGGGGCAAGTACTGTTAGCGAGTACCTCACACACAGACAAAGATCCCCCGTGTAGCCTCTAACAGACTGCAGGGGCAAGTACTGTTAGCGAGTACCTCACACACAGACACAGACAAAGATCCCCCGTGTAGCCTGTAACAGACTGCAGGGGCAAGTGCTGTTAGCTAGCACCTCACACACAGACAGAGACAAAGATCCCCCGTGTAGCCTCTAACAGACTGCAGGGGCAAGTGCTGTTAGCTAGCACCTCACACACAGGCACAGACAAAGAGCCCCCGTTTAGCCTCTTAACAGACTGCAGGGGCAAGTGCTGTTAGCGAGCACCTCACACACAGACAAAGATCCCCCGTGTAGGCTCTAACAGTCTGCAGGGGCAAGTGCTGTAAGCGAGTACCTCACACACAAAGATCCCCCGTGTAGCCTCTAACAGACTGCAGGGGCAAGTGCTGTTAGCTAGCACCTCACACACAGACACAGACAAAGATCCCCCGTGTAGCCTTTAACAGACTGCAGGGGCAAGTGCTGTTAGCTAGCACCTCACACACAAAGATCCCCCGTGTAGCCTCTAACAGACTGCAGGGGCAAGTGCTGTTAGCTAGCACCTCACACACAGACACAGACAAAGATCCCCCGTGTAGCCTCAAACAGACTGCAGGGGCAAGTGCTGTTAGCTAGCACCTCACACACAGGCACAGACAAAGATCCCCTGTGTAGCCTCTAACAGACTGCATGGGCAAGTGCTGTTAGCTGGCACCTCACACACAGACACAAAGATCCCCTGTGTAGCCTCTAACAGACTGCAGGGGCAAGTGCTGTTAGCTAGCACCTCACACAGACACAGACAAAGATCCCCCGTGTAGCCTCTAACAGACTGCAGGGGCAAGTGCTGTTAGCTGGCACCTCACACACAGACACAGACAAAGATCCCCCGTGTAGCCTCTAAGAGAATGCAGGGACAAGTGCTGTTAGCTAGCACCTCACACACAGACACAGACAAAGATCCCCCGTGTAGCCTGCAACAGACTGCAGGGGCAAGTGCTGTTAGCTAGCACCTCACACACGAAGCTCCCCGTGTAGCCTCTAACAGGCTGCAGGGGCAAGTGCTGTTAGCTAGCACTTCACACACAGACAAAGATCCCCCGTGTAGCCTTTAACAGACTGCAGGGGCAAGTGCTGTTAGCTAGCACTAAACACACAAAGATCCCCCGTGTAGCCTCTAACAGACTGCAGGGGCAAGTGCTGTTAGCTAGCACCTCACACACAGACACAGACAAAGATCCCCCGTGTAGCCTCAAACAGACTGCAGGGGCAAGTGCTGTTAGCTAGCACCTCACACACAGGCACAGACAAAGATCCCCTGTGTAGCCTCTAACAGACTGCATGGGCAAGTGCTGTTAGCTGGCACCTCACACACAGACACAAAGATCCCCCGTGTAGCCTCTAACAGACTGCAGGGGCAAGTGCTGTTAGCTGGCACCTCACACACAGACAGACAAATATGCCCCGTGTAGCCTCTAACAGGCTGCAGGGGCAAGTGCTGTTAGCTAGCACCTCACACACAGACAAAGATCCCCCGTGTAGCCTCTAACAGACTGCAGGGGCAATTGCCGTGAGCTGGCACCTCACACACAGACACAGACAAAGATCCCCCGTGTAGCATCTAACAGGCTGCAGGGGCAAGTGCTGTTAGCTAGCACCTCACACACACAGACAAAGATCCCCCGTGTAGCCTCTAACAGGCTGCAGGGGCAAGTGCTGTTAGCTAGCACCTCACACACACAGACACAGATGCAGGGGCAAGTGCTGTTAGCTGGCACCTCACACACAGACACAGACAACGATCCCCCGTGTAGCCTCTAACAGGCTGCAGGGGCAAGTGCTGTTAGCTAGCACCTCACACACAGACACAGACAAAGATCCCCCGTGTAGCCTCTAACAGGCTGCAGGGGCAAGTGCTGTTAGCTGGCACCTCACACACAGACACAGATCCCCCGTGTAGCCTTTAACAGACTGCAGGGGCAAGTGCTGTTAGCTGGCACCTCACGCACAGACAAAGATCCCCCGTGTAGCCTCTAACATACTGTAGGGGCAAGTGCTGTTAGCTAGCACCTCACACACAGACACAGATCCCCCGTGTAGCCTCTAACAGACTGCAGGGGCAAGTGCTGTTAGCTGGCACCTCACACACAGACAAAGATCCCCCGTGTAGCCTCTAACAGACTGCAGGGGCAAGTGCTGTTAGCTGGCACCTCACACACAGACACAGATCCCCCGTGTAGCCTCTAACAGACTGCAGGGGCAAGTGCTGTTAGCTAGCACCTCACACACAGACACAGACAAAGATCCCCCGTGTACCCTCTAACAGACTGCAGGGGCAAGTGCAATTAGCTAGCACCTCACACACACAGACAAAGATCCCCCGTGTAGCCTCTAACAGGATGCAGGGGCAAGTGCTGTTAGCTAGCACCTCACACACAGATCCCCCGTGTAGCCTCTAACAGACTGCAGGGGCAAGTGCTGTTAGTAGCGAGTAGCAGCAGCAACCTATGAAGGCTACCGGCACTGTGGCACACACAGAGGGGGGTGAGTGGCCAGCACCACGCCCGGCCGCCTTTGTCTCCCCCGGTGCTAGCGACGTTCGCGACACTGCACCGCTACACCAGCTACTCAGTTGAGGCCGAGTCGACCTAGGGGAGGCCCAGGGCCCGATTCAGCGATGATCGTCACCCGGTGCTGGCAGCCGCGAGCGGGAATCGAACCCGGGTCGCCAGAATCGCAGCGCAGCCGCGCTAACCGCCGCGCCACCGCTCTCCAAGCCGAGCGCACGCGCGCACGCACGCACGCACGCGCGCGCTGCTGGTGGGGGTCAAAATCCGATGAGCTGTGAAGCTCTTGGTTTGTTTTTTTCGTGTGCGCGCGTGTGCGCGTTTGTATGTCACGAACGCCCTCCAGTCGAGGGCCGCTTGGCCAGGCCGCCCACATCGAACATAGACCGACCCCTCCCATCCCTCCCTCGGCAAATGCCGGCGACTGACCAGGCTTTGTGCGACGCGCTTGGATTGCGGCCCACGTGTGGAGCTTGGGGTGTCGAGAGGAGCCCCTGGGATTGCGGCAGACGAACGGGGCTTGGGGTGTCGAGATGAGCCCTGGGATTGTGGCAGACGAACGGGGCTTGGGGTGTCGAGAGGAGCCCCTGGGATTGTGGCAGACGAACGGGGCTTGGGGTGTCGAGATGAGCCCCTGGGTTGTGGCAGACGAACGGGGCTTGGGGTGTCGAGATGAGCCCTGGGCAGACGAACGGGGCTTGGGGTGTCGAGATGAGCCCCTGGGATTGTGGCAGACGAACGGGGCTTGGGGTGTCGAGATGAGCCCTGGGCAGACGAACGGGGCTTGGGGTGTCGAGATGAGCCCCTGGGATTGTGGCAGACGAACGGGGCTTGGGGTGTCGAGATGAGCCCTGGGCAGACGAACGGGGCTTGGGGTGTCGAGATGAGCCCCTGGGTTGTGGCAGACTAACGGGGCTTGGGGTGTCGAGATGAGCCCTGGGATTCCGACAGACGAACGGGGCTTGGGGTGTCGAGAGGGGCCCTTGGATTGTGGCAGACGAACGGGGCTTGGGGTGTCGAGATGAGCCCTGGGATTGTGGCAGACGAACGGGGCTTGGGGTGTCGAGATGAGCCCTTGGATTGTGGCAGACGAACGGGGCTTGGGGTGTCGAGACGAGCCCTGGGATTGTGGCAGACGAACGGGGCTTGGGGTGTCGAGATGAGCCCCTGGGATTGTGGCAGACGAACGGGGCTTGGGGTGTCGAGATGAGCCCTGGACAGACGAAAGGGGCTTGGGGTGTCGAGATGAGCCCTTGGATTGTGGCAGACGAACGGGGCTTGGGGTGTCGAGATGAGCCCCTGGATTGGGGCAGACGAACGGGGCTTGGGGTGTCGAGATGAGCCCTTGGATTGGCAGACGAACGGGGCTTGGGGTGTCGAGATGAGCCCTGGACAGACGAACGGGGCTTGGGGTGTCGAGATGAGCCCTTGGATTGTGGCAGACGAACGGGGCTTGGGGTTGTCGAGATGAGCCCTTGGATTGTGGCAGACGAACGGGGCTTGGGGTGTCGAGAGGAGCCCTTGGATTGTGGCAGACGAACGGGGCTTGGGGTGTCGAGATGAGCCCCTTGGATTGCGGCAGACGAACGGGGCTTTGGGTGTCGAGAGGGGGGTGGCTGGGAGCGCTTGGCTGGAGCCCTTGGCCCTCTGCAATCAGCAGCAGCGGCGGCGGTGGTGGTGGTGGCCGCAACGAATTCCGTTGCTGTTTGTCGCTCGACTGGGCTCGCTCCGCCTCTTCCCTTTTTGGCCCTTCGCCTCGCGTGCAACGGCGTTGGCGACACCGCGCGGAGAGAGAGAGAGAGACGGAGACACAGAGAGACAGAGAGAGACACGGAGAGAGACACAGAGAGAGAGACACACAGAGAGAGACACAGACAGAGAGAGACGTCTCTCTCTGTCTCCTCCCGCTCGCTGCTCGCTGACGTCACGGGGAGCGGCGCGCGCGCGTGACGTCACGCGCGCGCCCAGCCCGGCGGCTTCCCACAAAGCCGATGTCAGATTGAGAATATTGCTGGTGATGGTGGTGATGGTGATGATGGTGGTGATGGTGATGGTGGTGATGGTGGTGGTGGTGATGGTGGTGATGGTGGTGATGGTGATGGTGGTGATGGTGATGGTGGTGATGGTGGTGGTGGTGATGGTGGTGATGGTGGTGATGGTGATGGTGGTGATGGTGGTGGTGATGGTGGTGATGGTGGTGGTGATGGTGGTGGTGATGGTGGTGATGGTGGTGGTGATGGTGGTGGTGATGGTGGTGATGGTGGTGGTGATGGTGGTGGTGATGGTGGTGGTGGTGATGGTGATGGTGGTGATGGTGGTGGTGATGGTGGTGGTGATGGTGGTGATGGTGGTGATGGTGGTGGTGATGGTGGTGATGGTGGTGGTGATGATGGTGATGGTGGTGGTGATGGTGGTGATGGTGGTGATGGTGGTGGTGATGGTGATGGTGGTGATGGTGGTGGTGGTGATGGTGGTGATGGTGGTGATGATGGTGGTGATGGTGGTGGTGATGGTGGTGATGGTGATGATGGTGGTGGTGATGGTGGTGATGGTGATGGTGGTGGTGATGATGATGGTGATGATGGTGGTGATGGTGGTGGTGATGGTGGTGATGGTGGTGATGGTGGTGGTGATGGTGGTGGTGGTGGTGATGATGATGGTGATGATGGTGGTGATGGTGGTGGTGATGGTGGTGATGGTGGTGATGGTGGTGGTGATGGTGATGGTGGTGATGGTGGTGGTGATGATGGTGATGGTGGTGATGGTGATGGTGGTGATGGTGGTGATGGTGATGGTGGTGATGATGGTGGTGATGGTGGTGGTGCTGATGGTGATGGTGGTGATGGTGGTGGTGATGGTGATGGTGGTGATGGTGGTGGTGATGATGGTGATGGTGGTGATGGTGGTGATGGTGGTGATGATCGTGATGGTGGTGATGGTGGTGATGGTGATGGTGGTGATGGTGGTGATGGTGGTGATGGTGATGGTGGTGATGGTGGTGATGGTGGTGGTGATGGTAGTGGTGATGGTGGTGATGGTGGTGATGGTGATGGTGGTGATGGTGATGATGGTGGGGATGGTGTTGATGGTGGTGATGGTGGTGGTGATGGTGGTGATGGTGGTGGTGATGGTGGTGGTGGTGATGGTGGTGATGGTGGTGGTGGTGATGGTGATGATGGTGGTGATGGTGATGGTGGTGATGGTGGTGATGGTGGTGGTGATGGTGGTGATGGTGGTGGTGATGGTGGTGATGGTGGTGGTGATGGTGGTGATGGTGATGGTGGTGATGGTGGTGATGGTGATGGTGGTGATGGTGATGGTGGTGATGGTGGTGGTGATGGTGGTGATGGTGATGATGGTGGTGGTGATGGTGGTGATGGTGATGGTGGTGGTGATGATGATGGTGATGGTGGTGATGGTGGTGATGGTGGTGGTGCTGATGGTGATGGTGGTGATGGTGGTGGTGATGGTGATGGTGGTGATGGTGGTGGTGATGATGGTGATGGTGGTGATGGTGATGATGGTGGTGATGGTGGTGATGATCGTGATGGTGGTGATGGTGGTGATGGTGGTGGTGATGGTGGTGGTCATGGTGGTGGTGATGGTGGTGGTGATGGTGGTGGTGGTGATGGTGGTGATGGTGGTGGTGGTGATGGTGATGATGGTGGTGATGGTGATGGTGGTGATGGTGGTGATGGTGGTGGTGATGGTGGTGATGGTGGTGGTGATGGTGGTGATGGTGGTGGTGATGGTGGTGATGGTGATGGTGGTGATGGTGGTGATGGTGATGGTGGTGATGGTGATGGTGGTGATGGTGGTGGTGATGGTGGTGATGGTGATGATGGTGGTGGTGATGGTGGTGATGGTGATGGTGGTGGTGATGATGATGGTGATGGTGGTGATGGTGGTGATGGTGGTGGTGTTGATGGTGATGGTGGTGATGGTGGTGGTGATGGTGATGGTGGTGATGGTGGTGGTGATGATGGTGATGGTGGTGATGGTGATGATGGTGGTGATGGTGGTGATGATCGTGATGGTGGTGATGGTGGTGATGGTGGTGGTGATGGTGGTGGTCATGGTGGTGGTGATGGTGGTGGTGATGGTGGTGATGGTGGTGGTGATGGTGATGGTGGAGATAGTGGTGATGGTGATGGTGGTGATGATGGTGATGGTGGTGGTGATGATGGTGATGATGGTGATGGTGGTGATGATGGTGGTGATGGTGGTGATGATGGTGATGGTGGTGATGGTGGTGGTGATGGTGGTGGTGGTGATGATGGTGGTGATGGTGGTGATGGTGATGATGGTGATGGTGGTGATGTGGTGGTGATGATGGTAGTGGCGATGGTGGTGGTGATGGTGGTGGTTATGATGGTGGTGGTGATGGTGGTGGTGATGGTGGTGATGATGGTAGTGGTGATGGTGGTGGTGATGGTGGTGGTGATGTGGTGGTCATGATGGTGGTGGTGATGGTGGTGGTGGTGATGATGATGGTGGTGGTGATGATGGTGGTGATGGTGGTGGTGATGATGGTGATGGTGGTGATGGTGGTGATGGTGGTGGTGATGATGGTGATGGTGATGATGGTGATGGTGGTGATGGTGGTGATGATGGTGGTGATGGTGATGGTGGTGATGGTGGTGGTGGTGATGATGGTGGTGGTGATGATGGTGATGGTGGAGATGGTGGTGGTGATGGTGATGGTGGAGATGGTGGTGGTGATGATGGTGATGGTGGAGATGGTGATGGTGGTGATGGTGATGGTGGTGGTGATGGTGGTGATGGTGATGATGGTGGTGATGATGGTGGTGGTGATGGTGGTGGTGATGGTGGTGATGGTGATGATGGTGGTGGTGATGGTGGTGATGGTGATGGTGGTGGTGATGATGATGGTGATGGTGGTGATGGTGGTGATGGTGGTGGTGCTGATGGTGATGGTGGTGATGGTGGTGGTGATGGTGATGGTGGTGATGGTGGTGGTGATGATGGTGATGGTGGTGATGGTGGTGATGGTGGTGATGATCGTGATGGTGGTGATGGTGGTGATGGTGGTGGTGATGGTGGTGATGGTGGTGGTCATGGTGGTGGTGATGGTGGTGGTGATGGTGGTGATGGTGGTGGTGATGGTGATGGTGGAGATAGTGGTGATGGTGATGGTGGTGATGATGGTGATGGTGGTGGTGATGATGGTGATGATGGTGATGGTGGTGATGATGGTGGTGATGGTGGTGATGATGGTGATGGTGGTGATGGTGGTGGTGATGGTGGTGGTGGTGATGATGGTGGTGATGGTGGTGATGGTGATGATGGTGATGGTGGTGATGTGGTGGTGATGATGGTAGTGGCGATGGTGGTGGTGATGGTGGTGGTTATGATGGTGGTGGTGATGGTGGTGGTGATGGTGGTGATGATGGTAGTGGTGATGGTGGTGGTGATGGTGGTGGTGATGTGGTGGTCATGATGGTGGTGGTGATGGTGGTGGTGGTGGTGATGATGATGGTGGTGGTGATGATGGTGGTGATGGTGGTGGTGATGATGGTGATGGTGGTGATGGTGGTGATGGTGGTGGTGATGATGGTGATGGTGATGATGGTGATGGTGGTGATGGTGGTGATGATGGTGGTGATGGTGATGGTGGTGATGGTGGTGGTGGTGATGATGGTGCTGGTGATGATGGTGATGGTGGAGATGGTGGTGGTGATGGTGATGGTGGAGATGGTGGTGGTGGTGATGATGGTGATGGTGGAGATGGTGATGGTGGTGATGGTGGTGGTGGTGATGATGATGATGATGGTGATGATGGTGATGATGGTGATGGTGGAGATGGTGGTGGTGATGATGGTGATGGTGGTGGTGATGGTGGTGATGGTGATGATGGTGGTGATGATGGTGGTGGTGATGGTGGTGATGGTGATGATGGTGGTGATGGTGGTGATGGTGGTGATGATGGTAGTGGTGATGGTGGTGGTGATGTGGTGGTGATGATGGTGGTGGTGGTGGTGATGGAGGTGGTGATGATGGTGGTGATGATGATGGCGGTGATGATGGTGGTGGTGATGGTGATGATTATGATGGTGGTGTTGATGGTGGTGACTTTGATGGTGATGATAATGATGGTGGTGGTGATGGTGATGGTGGTGATGGTTGTGGTGATGGTGGTGCTGATGGTTCTGGTGATGATGGTGGTGATGGTGGTGATGGTGATGATGGTGGTGATGGTGGTGATGGTGGTGATGATGGTAGTGGTGATGGTGGTGGTGATGTGGTGGTGATGATGGTGGTGGTGGTGGTGATGAAGGTGGTGATGATGGTGGTGATGATGGCGGTGATGATGGTGGTGGTGATGATTATGATGGTGGTGTTGATGGTGGTGATTTTGATGGTGGTGATAATGATGGTGGTGGTGATGGTGGTGATGGTGGTGATGGTGGTGATGGTTGTGGTGATGGTGGTGCTGATGGTTCTGGTGATGATGGTGGTGATGGTGGTGATGGTGGTGGTGATGGTGATGGCGGTGGTGATGGTGATGATGGTGATGGTGGTGGTGATGGTGGTGATGATGGTGGTGGTGGTGATGATGGTGGTGGTGATGGTGGTGATGATGATGGTGTTGATGACGATGGTGGTGATGATAATCGTGTGTAGGCATGAACAGAATCTGAATCAGAAAATTGATGTATGGTGGTGATGGTGGTGATGGTGGTGGTGATGATGATGGCGGTGATGATGATGGTGGTGGTGATGGAGTTGGTGATGGTGATGATGGTGGTGATGATGATGGCGGTGATGATGGTGGTGGTGATGGTGATGATTATGATGGTGGTGATGATGATGGCGGTGATGACGGTGGTGGTGATGGTGATGATTATGGTGGTGGTGTTGATGGTGGTGATTTTGATGTTGGTGATAATGATGGTGGTGGTGATGATGGTGGTGGTGATGGTGATGATGGTGGTGATGA